CCAGGCTCTCACATCACCAAGCGCGAAGCGCCGCGAGGTTGTCGGCGAGTCGCATGAAGGGTGTGCTGCATCCTGCTAAGGTTGTTCGGCATCTTGTGCTTACTTACTTGCGTACGGATGACAGCTGCGTATGACTTAACTTCTTTTCTGGTGCTTTCACTTCCAGAGACAGTTGTAAGCACTGTGTAACTGCCTCGAGAGTGCTTGACCATTTAAACACAACGTGGTGCGATCATCCCCCTTGCGCGGAGTGAGGGTTCTCGACCCCGCACAACATGATCTACTCGACCACCACTCTGGGTAACACCACAAAAAAACAAAGGTAAAAACAAACCGGTAACCTGGCTGCCGAGTTCACGAATTGAATTGACTTGTTTTACAACGTCGTTGCCAAGCGACGAAAACCCAATCCCGATGGCAAACACCGAGGGGGGGGCTTGTTTTACAACGTCGCTGCCAAGCGACGAAAACGCAACCCCGATGGTAAACACCGGTGGGGGGGGCTTTGTTCGGAGGGGGGGTTGGCAGTACGACAACGGACGTTTTGGTTGGGGGAGAGCTCTCTTGCAATTCCAAATAATGCTGTCCCATGTGTTTGCGCCTTTGTGTGGCGGCGTTGGGCGGCGGAGCGAAGTCTCACAGTATCTGCGTATAGATAATCACAAGCACCAGAAATCGCACCCTAGCCGCAGCATGCGCAGAGGGCCCTACGTAGTGCTTCAAATTCTGCAAGCCGAGACTCAGTCCTTTGCTTTTTTTGTTTTTGTGCTAGCATACACTTCCCTCAGACCTGTCCTGTTCCAAAACACACTGTATTGCTTGCATGTGACTCATCCCTCCAGCGCTTGCGCCAAAGGCGCTCCCTATTCGCGAATTATCACAAAGCAGTTGCACTGGTGCTGCACTGCGCTTTGTTTGCCGCAGCGCGATTCGCCATAAGTGTTGCCTCTACAAATTACATGCAAGGCAACCCTCCTATTTAGCAAAATAGTTCCTCACGCCGTAGCTGGTGACGAGGTGCGATGAAACAGCGATGTGCCGGCCAAAAAATGCGAGCGGAGGCCAGCCCAACGCCTTGAAAATGGGGCACAGGCAGAGATTTCGAGAAAACTGAGAAAGATCTTTTGGCTGGATATGTATGTCTTTCGCACGTATGCATACGATGCGCGAGTTAGCTAAAATGCGGACAACGTCACGAAAATGTAATGTTCCATGTCGCAAACCCCTAGAAACAAGAATAAAACTGTTCCTAAGAATGTAGAAGAACCGTCACCGTAGATACATACGTCGTTCGTTTTCCTCACCCGCGCGGTGCCTCCCTCTTCTTTTTGCCGTGTGCTTTCTCGACCGTTTTTTTTTTGTTTTTCCTGTGGCCTGCCTACAACCGCTCCTTTTCAGGATGGCGTGGCCCCGGAGGCGAAGGACAATGCTCGCGAGAGGGTAAGCTCCCACCTGTCACTCTGTGTCGTGTTCGGTTGCAGTTGTATCGTTTTGTGATATACTTGTCCCCGTGTAATGTATGCGCAACACTGTTGCATGTTATCCTTAGCGCTTCGAACGGCAGGTGCGCACAGTTTGAAAATGGTCACACGAGAGTCAGGCTACCAAACCGCCAGGGTTTGACGAATGCCGTACCACTATAACGCAATGTTGTTAATGTTTGGTGAACGTGTTGAGAAGAGCTCTGCCGTTGAACGAGAGCCTGAGATCGCCGCCTGCCTGCCGCCGCCGCTGTTTGATTTTTCCGCATGCTGCTGTGCTAAACATGTGTTTTGAACTTGATGCGTCGAAAAAAACAAATAACAGGTTTGCTCTGAAGTCGCGAAAGGGGGTTACGGAAGAAAAGCTGTGGTGGTGAGGATTAACTCGCTTGACTCGCCCTGGGGGGAGGACGACATCAGGGAGGTGGCCAAGCTTACAGTTGACGCCGTCGTCATACCGAAGGTGTCAATCGCAATCGCGTATACATTTTGCGACTATTTTTTTTATCAGACCTATGCTTTTTTTTTTGCAAGCACATGCTCAATTGTTGTGCCAGGGTTTCATGTCGTATGGCCTTGCTTCCACCGCAGTATTTAATTCAGCGGCGTGGCCGTTGCCTACGTTGTGCTTCAAAACCTTAACCGTCCCACCTACCCGTGCGTGTGCGCCGTTTTCGATGCTTGGCTTGAAGGTGGAAAGTGCGGCGGACGTTAAACGGGTGGCGGATCTCCTCCGTCACCACGGAGCCAAAGACACCGACTTGTGGTGAGCACTGGGGGATCGATGAGGCCGCTCGCTTGTTGGGGACGGGGTGTCTGTCTCGGTGGCAAGGGTGCTCCAAATAGAGGTGGCGGAATAGGTGTTAAGAGTGTTTGTGGTAGACTGTATATATCGTGCGAAATGTTAGTTGTGTTATTTAAACTAGCTGCTGTGGATTCGTCATGAAGCATGTACACGTTGTTTGGTATGTGCGATGTTGACTCCAGGGTACATAGCGGTTATCTCCTCGCCTGTGTGCGTGTGCTTGGGGACATGCACGCAAGTTTTGGGTCTGATTCTAGTGAAATTTCGGACATGATTGGTGGTACTCAAACCTCCGCCCCCCTCGGGGTTTCACTGGATTTGCTTGCATGCTCGCAGCAACAGCGGCAAGGCTTGGCGACATGCAAGCAAGTACCGTTTTTTTTTTATCTTTCGTTGGTACGTGTTCTTCACCGACGCTCGACTCCTAACCCCTGGGAGCACCTCTCCTCTCTCCTGCGTTCGCCTTTCTCGTTGAATACTTGTGTACGTTCTCCTTTGGCCTGTCCATACGAACGGCTGGATGGTGTGCGAAACAGGTGCATGATCGAGACCCCTCTTGGCGTGACAAGAGCCAACGAGATCGCTTCCGCGCACGAGACCGTGTCGTGCCTAGTGCTGGGCACGTCGGACCTGACAAGAGATCTGCAGGCGAACCACACGCCCGACCGCACTCCGCTTCTTTACAGGTGGGTGGGTGGTGCCACCGGAACGTTTCTGGCCGATATATGTACTGTAGTCTGCAGAGCTGCTGACCGCGCGGTCAGTCATTCTTTGGGGAATATGCGCGCTTCTTGGGCGGGGTTGCAGTGGGAAACCGGCGTGTTTGTTTCAGGGTGCCGTTGTTTTTGAACGTGGCATGCCCTCATTGTCTGTTTTTTTTTCAAAGGGTGACGGGTGCGATGGGTTTCGTTGAAGGTGGCACAGCCATGGGTGGTAGATACGTACCGTATATGACACAAGAAAACACACCCCCTGGACCAATTTTCAAAGCTCGAATACTCCACGACGAAGAGGATGCATAGACGAAACGATACATTTTTGGAAAGCTCTAGATGAGATGGTTCCAATGCCGCCGTTTTCGGCGCCGTGACTCTTCCTGTTGTTGAGAAATCGAGATTTGAAAATTGGTCCAGGGGGTGTGTTATCTTGTGTCATGTACGGTACACACCATCCAAGGTGAAAGGGCGAAGTGAAGAGTACGATACATACCATCCAGGGCAAGCGCGCGCGAAGGTCAACCGCATCCCCTCAAATGCGCGTCCCGTACCCCATGGATTGCTCCCAGGAGGTTGGTACATGGTGTTCCCGGTGCATCGAGATTGTGCAGGGTGGAGGAGGAATGGCCCAATCCGTCGCTTTTTGCGCTCCAGGTTAAGGAGTCACACACCACACCAGACCTTCGGGGGGGAAGGGGGGGTACCCGCCCTAACCTTTTGCCTCGTATTGTCTCGGGAGTAAAACCCCCGGCAACTCGTTGGTCGTGTCGTTTCGGGAGTAAAACCGCCGCCACCTCGTTCCTCGTGTCGTTTCGGGGGTAACCGTCGTCATTATTATTTTTTTCTCGCGTCGTCTCTGCGCTGCAGCCTGTCCCGCTGCATCTTGGCGGCGCGTACGTACGGCCTGCGCTGCCTCGACGGCGTCCACCTGGACATGACGGACGCTGAGGGCTTCGAGCGTGCGTGCAGGCAGGGCAGGGATATGGGCATGGACGGGAAGACGCTGATCCACCCTAGCACGGTGAGCTCTCTCCTCTCCCTCCTGTCTCTTTCGGCTCTCGTTCTGCGGTCACCGTTCTATAGATATGATGCGGTGCTGTTGGGTCGGGCGATTGGTTACGATGGTACGGGTTTTTGAGCCTGTGCATTTGATGGTGGTAGCCATGTGCCGCGCGCGCGAAAAGAGGTTCTGCCTTCCCAGAAGGATGGTTGGAGGGTGCCCGGGGGCCCAAACGACGAGCTTTTGGACCAGGTGTACCTCAAGGAAAACGTCCAGGAGATTACGAAAAGAGGTGATGCGACCAAGCTCGTACGTATGAACGATCAGCCTCGACCTTTGGCAATGGTATAGGCGATTCCCACGGGTCCCAAACCTTTGTTCCTACGTGAAGAACCGCTGGAAGGGACTCTCAACGGAGCAAGAAAGGAAGAGGGAACGCGCAGCATGCATGATGATATTGAGTGCTGCGGTAGAACAATGTCCTTTCCTGAAGAGACGGGCAAGTTTCAGTGAGCGCAGGTTCGCAGTTTGATGCTTCCCCTTCAAGGCTCTCTCCGACCGGAGACAAAGGGCCTCAAAACGATTTGTCGATACCTCGAAAGCTTGGTATGAAATGCAGCACACTCAAATGATTTTGCAGAGATAGGATAGTGCCGTCCCCACTGTCTCCCTCTGCTTTTTGGTGTGTACGCCTGCAACGTATGTGCACAGGTTGTATTCAAATTCGATTAATCTGTTCCCCGTGTGCATGTGTACCAAGATTACGAAAGCTTTCGTGCATATGGTAGGCTCCCTCTCCCTCCCTCCCTCCCTCCCTCCATCTCTCTTGCCTACACACACGCACACCTCGTCTGTCGTGCATGTTGGGCGTGTGAGCAGTGTTCTCCGGCCTCTTTGCACCCTAGCTTAAATTCCTATCATTCTATCGTTGTATTATTCTGCACTTGTATTATTCTATCATTCTATTAGACGTTGAAACACCCGCTACGCGAGTGGTACCTGCTATCCGCCGGACACCTGCACAACGAAAAACCCACCAACACGTCTCCCTGTCGCACACGAAGACGGCCTGGGTCTTGATCCTACACAAGAAACGCCGTGGCGCATCATTTGGCCCCGCCGTCGCTGTGTACCCCACACGGGGTCGTCGCGGCCCTAGCCTTACCCTCAGCCTTTACACCACAGCTTGAACGGGTTCGTCCGTTGACGTCTCAGGTGGCTGTCGCGAATTGGTTTTTCGGCCCCAACGCCAGCGAAGTAGAGCAGGCCTACAGGGTGGTGGAGGTGAGCTTGGGGGTGCGGTTGGCGATCGAAAATTTTGCTTGAGTCGAAGACACTCGTAATGTTTAGATTCCTGAACCCCGCTCTGTTTGCTGATAGCACATCTACCCGAGAGTACATACTGCTGTACATGTCGACTTCGTGGGTGGTCTCGTCTTGCGGACCCCCGAAACACCCCGCCACCACCCACTTCTTTCCCAATGGCAACGCTTATGGCATAGGGCCGTACGAACTATGATGGGCCAAACGAAATGATTATACAGGAGTACCGCCGCCCACCCGTTTCTATTGGTGCTCGTGCCCCTGTCAGGCGCACGAGGAGGCGGCTGCGAGGGGGGAAGGCTGCGCCGTCTTGGACGGGAGCCTGGTGGAGCGCCTGCACGCGGAGAACGCTCGACGGATAATCGAGCTGCACGAATCGATTGCCGCGCTTGAAGCCGGGCAAGAGGCGGGCACGTAATCAAGCGGCCTGCTGGTGGTGGTGAGAGGGGGGGGCGTTCTCTACCGCGGTGCCCCCGACCTATCGTGCTTTTGCTCGGCTGATATCTGGGTGCTTTTAGGGGCGGTGGCAGAGCAGGGAGGTCGGAGAGACGAGATGGGAGTGAGGTTCGCCTATCTATCAATGTGCTTTGTTCCCATTAAGTTATCATAAACTGCAAGTGTGACGGAGCGGAGAAATTATGTCTGGTATACAAGGCAAATCCCGAGGAGAGCATCGGAGGGACGTTGTTCACGATCTGTCGGCTTTCCGAAGGCTGCGGGCAGCACTAGGATTTGTTTTCTTCCCGCCGTCGGCATTGATAGAAAAGAGGATGTGCCGGTTCGTCGATTTGGAGAGAGACAGATGTGAGGCCGAGGACGACTTGTTCCCCCTGCATCATGTATCAGCCATGGCGGTGGTGGCACTAATCGATTCGTTCGAACGGTTGTCCGTACTCGCGGTTTACCGGCAGGCCGCCTGCGAGGCGCTCGGATTAGAGGATTTGCAAAGGGGCATGCATGCTGGGGGCGATGAAACCCAATCGTTGTTCATGTTGAAGCTCGTTTAATGGTGTACACAGAGAGAATTCGTTCGTGGCAGGTATACCCCCAAACGAGGGGTGAGGGGGGGAAGGGGGAGGGGGGCTGTCAGAATAAGTGATACTCACCTGAGGTTCGTTTGTAGCGGGGGCTGACAGCTGTATTTTGATCTATTTAGTCTTGTATAGGAGAGATTGGCGTAACCATATTTTGCTACTGCTGTCGTTGCTTTTGTGTGCCGTGACGCGTCCTGTTGTTGTCTCCGCTATGTATGCCAAGTTTTTTTTGCGTTTTTTCCGCGTGAAACACTCTGATTCTGATGGAGCTTGATGGTGCCCGCGTCTCCTTACCGGGACTGATTATCTGTCGGTGTTTTATCTCGTCAGAATGGTGCAGTCCTTGTTGACGACGAACAGGCTTGCCTGCGTTGAACATGACGAAAACATGCGGTAGTTTTTGTTCAAGACCCCGTGTTACTACCTGAATCCGACGTGAGACGGCAAAAGCGTGTCCCCGAAACCAAGAGCTTGTGTTTATTTTTCATCGAACGCCGTTCGGTGTCTGTCCTCGTTGGCCTATCTTCCAGTAAGGTCTACAGTAGTTAAAATGATCAGACGAAGAGAGTAGAGACGTTGGGAGTACATATTGCACTCTTTTTTTATGCTGCAAAGTAGGTCGCAAAATATACCACACCCGTTGGACCCGTTTTGAAAGATGGGTTGATCGCTGCGGCACACAAAGTGATGGTGGTGGTGCGGAAACGGCGGCGGCGTTGGAAACGGCGGCGGCGTTGGAAACGTCTCGCTCGCTGAGAGCTTTCCAAAAACATGTGCGTATGATACATTTTGGCATTTGTTTTTGCATCCTCTTCGTTCGTCGGTTGGTGAGAGTTATTATTGCATGTACAGTAGTCGAGAGATATAAAAACTCGGCTCAGGGGACGTGGGATCTTATGCGACGACCTGCGTGGTGGTGGTGCTTCACGGCAGGCCCCGTGGTATTTTACTGCGCTGTCGTTGCAATAGTCTAATGATGATACGGTTACGTTCGTTCATGGAGAACGCGCCCCCAACCCTTGAAGAGCCTCTTGTTTTGCCCGATGCTCGCTCTCGGTATCCTCCGTTGGGAAATCGACGGAGACTAAATGCTAAGTACAACACAGATAATGGGTGGTTCCCAAATTCTCATTATTTCGAGAACTTCGCACCCTCGAAGCCGACTTCCTTGTAACGTCCTTCACGTTTTTTTTTTTTTTATATGTCTTCACTTCAAATCAGCGCTCACAGCACTGGTGCCGTTTACTCCAACCCGTGGTCACACAGAAGAACCCCTCTCTACCCTCCCCTCCTGCGGTACTTTGTCTTCGATTTTTAATGCGACAAGAGTTCAGCACTCTCTTCCCTCCGTGTACACACGAACTAAATAGCTCTTTCCACTAGGCAAGGAGCGGAAGCGAGAGAAAAACTCACTCGCTCCTCTTGCCCCGCGGTTGAAACCAGTACGCGCCCTCGCCCAGTGCTTCCTCTGGAGCGAGGTCGGACCTCAGTCTTGCGACACGCTTGTTAGCGCTCACGAAGTGCTCAGGGTGGACTCCAAGAAGCTCTGCCTTGCGCTTCGACGTTACCCTTGAAGGCTCATCCCCGTCGTCCCCGTCGAACGCAGCAGCCGTGAGGATCGTCTGAAACGTTCGCCTTCCTTCATTGGTTCGCCCCTGTGTCGATGCTGCCGCAAGAGCCTTCTTGGTGCCCGCTACCATCTTCCGCGCATCACGTGCGTCTGCCTGCTCCTTCCGGAGAAGATCTGCGGCGGCCACTCCTTGTCCCGCCAGAAAATCCAACAGCTCACCCTCCGCCATGCTTCTCATCGCAGCAAGAAACGACTCAGAAGAGTCCCAACAGTCTGGTTGCGGCTACGGGTCACGTGGCACAACAGCGGGGAGAGCGAGGGGAACGGCCAGTCGTCGTCAGGCTCGATTCGCATGCCAAACCCGCCATCATTGAAGCATTCACGTAAATTCGAAGGCGCAATCAGCACACAACACGGCAGTGCGCTCAACAATACAGTAAGTACATGAGTGTCGGCTTCAGCATCTTTATCGTAGGAGCAGGTGGGGGGACGTACAAGAGTGTCCACGGGGTGGATGTGAAGTTGGCTTTTCAACGGGTTGTAGTTGATACTATGGTGACTGAATTGGGATGTATGCTACGTACGGCGATACACCTACAGCAGGCAGCAGCAGGCAGCAGGCAGCAGC